AACTTTTACGCACACACATATTTTATATTCAGAGATCTTCCTCTCGTTGAGCTTTAGCATATGCGTAGATTTTTTTTCTTTTTTATTCTCTCCCCAACGAAGGTACAAGAAACTTTTGAAACTCTGAATTGGTCCGCGCTCCTGACAGCGTAGTACAGCGTAGTATACTTTTTCTACCACCGAACGAGAGTACCCACTCGTACACATTATATTATATGCGTGTGCAGTCCGCGGCGCAGGTATATACAACAATATCGCCGAGCGCACGCCGAATCGGTGTTTCTGCTTTGCGTTTATATATGCAGCTGTCTTGTACTTTCTTTCTTCTTACGCGGACGGGGGGATACGTTGCGTAAAACGAAATTACCAAAATGCGCAGCGGAGGGTCGCTCGTTATTGGACTTTTCTTTATTTTGTTTTTGTTTTCGTTTTTTTTTTTTTTTTAGGTAGCTACCTACGTGCACATTTTTACAACCTCGAATTTCACGTGCGCGGGAGTCGTATATTTTAAGAGAGATTTTTAAGCGGTGAAATGGCTCTTTTACCGTAGTAGATATGCTCAAAATTAATAATGACTTTAAGGGGACCTTACACCTCCAAATTAGAAAAAAAAGTTTTTAACATAGCTCAATAAAACTTTTAGCGCATGCTTGATAGTTCTTATACTACATCAAAAAAATGTTGATTAATTTTGCTAAAAAATATTACAATAATTTAACTGAAATTATACTTAAAAATTTGTAAAAACTTTTAATAGCTTTATCTTTTTATATGCAATACACCAAATGAGCTGAAAATGTACTTTGAAAGATACCTACCTAGTAGCGCTTCAAGTATCAGAAGCCTTTCAAGTCGAACTAGCTTTTTTCATTTCTTCGTTTCGGATGTATGGAATAAATCTTGAAATCAATTGCTGCAATTAACTTACCAAGTTGAATTGGATTTCAATCAGGTCAACATATTTTTTATTATTAACAAACAGTTTGTAAACCATTTTTTTTAAACCAAGTTTTTTTTGTAAATAATTTTATTTTGTAAACAAAACTTTACTTCAGTATCATTTTTTATTTTATTCTTATTTCTTTATACTTTATACGATCGGCGAGAGCAACAGCAGCATCAGCATTAGGGCTTCACGATACGATACAATATCGATATTTACTTAAATATCGGTATCGTATCGAACTTTAAATTGTTGTATCGTATCGTATCGAAATCGACGATATTTTTTTTTAAATTTATTGTATTGTATATCGAAGTCGATACGATATCGATACGATAATCGATATTATATCGAGAAATATAAAAGATTTAGGATTTGATTTATTTTTAGTAGTAAAAAAAAACAATTATTTTCAAATAGCAATAAAGAATTTTTAATTATTCATTCAATAATTAGTAACTATTTTTCATATTAATCATAACATTTTTTAATTAAGTATTATGGAATATTTTAAGTTTAAATTAAAACAAGAAATTATTTGATTTCGCAAATTTCTTCTCTGTTATTGCTTCGCATCCACCTATTGATGCAAATCAATTCTCTAAGGCTATCGTCTTTAAGAGAACATCTTGTTTTAGTTAAAACCAGTGATGCCTCCGAAAATAATCGCTCTGCTGGCACAGAAGTGGCCGGTATGCACAGAATGTCTCGTGCCATGCGAGCTATGATTGGATACTCATTTGCATGTAATTTCCACCACAACAAAATATCTGTATCAGAGTCAGGTCTTGGATCCTCCAAATATTTATTAATTTCATTCATCCAAACTATAGATTTTTTCGGCTTAACAAATAGAATATCGAAATCAAGATCTTCTTCACTTTTTCGACATTTTTTTAAAGCTGGCTCTTCTGTACAATCATCTATAAAATACTTGTCATAATATATTTTAAATACTGATTTAAATTTGTCTAAAGTTTCATCGTGCAATTCTCGACTCCAGCCGGTTTTTTGCAAGCCAATGGCTTTCGATCGTGGATCTAATATCAAAGAAATGCAATAAATCCAATTGCATTTTTGATAATGATTGATCAACTTATCTCTACCTTTTTGGAACGCTAAAATGAGTATTCGGTCGATTTCGTTTAGGTGTTCTTGCTCGTCCAATTCAAAAGACTTTTTTTCAAGTCTGTCCAACAAACAATTAAAAGCTATAACTGCTCCTGGCAACGTTACATACTTCTCACCACTAATTCTTTCTGACACTCGCTTATAGTCACCTAAAAATTCTAATAATCTTCCAACGAGAATCCATTCTGACGGTTCTACACAAGTTAAGGTATCATATGTTTTACAAAGTTGATCCAGCGCATCTTTCATTTGGTAAGCATTATTTAACATATCAAAGGTACTATTCCACCTTGTCTTCGAGTCAGATAAAGGTACTTTGTACTTGATGTCAAAAACTTTGCAACATGCTTCAAGTCTTAAAGAAATCTTTTCTGAATTCCTTATTTTTTTTAGCAATTTACGTATTTTATTGACAACGTTAGAAATGAACTTTTGTTTCGATTCAAAATCCTCTATTTCATAATCTGGTATATTGTCTAAGTCATCATCATCATCTTCTTCTTCTTCTTCTTCTTTTTCTTCTTCTTCTTCTTCTTCTTCTTTGTCTGAACAATTTTCCCCATCACAACATTCAACTTCCATTAATTTTAGAATGTCTTGCACCGATAAATTAAGGACGTGGGCGAGGCATCGGAAGTGTTGATCATCTGGATCGAAATCAATTTTATCATTTTTTAAAATTTTGCTGAGTTCAGAAGTAAATTTAATATTAGCAGCAGCATTGTCCACCGTAATGCCAGCTATTTTATCATGGATATTATAAAATTTAGCAATTTCATAAAAGGTGTGTGCAATATCTAAACCGGAATGTTTTCCTTTAGATGGACTAAAATCAATAGCAAACGAGTTTAAAGTCCAATTTTTGTCTATGTAATGAACAGTCACTCCATAGTACGATTTCCTGGTTTTTCCAGACCAGGCATCGATTGTGAATGCAAATTTAGATTTATTTTTTTCTAATAAATTTTTAACATTTTTTTGCATTTTCTCAAATTCCTCTTTGATCATAATATTTGCTTGATTTTTACTGGGTACTGGAATATTTTTATTGAAGAAAGCAAAAAAATTTTGTGTTTCCCGGTCATCGAAAAAACTTTTGGGTAAGTTCTTGAAACATAGCCATGTTACTATTCGCCGTTCAGTAGTACATTTATTCTCAGAGACCTAAAAAATATTTCATTAAAAATAGTATTCTTGTGCAAAAAAATAATAGAAATTATATTACTCTATGGTTTATTCACAAAAAAAGTATAAGATTACATCAATTTGATTAATCAATGAAAAACTTATTTTCTCGCTAAGCCGATTATCTCTTCAGCATTGCAAAAGTGCCGAGCAAACTGTACAATAACAAGTTCTTTCTTGCACGACTGTGATCAAGTATGGCCATAGCTCTATATACTCGATCGCACGTGATTAATGAATGTATACAAATTAAATTATTAAAGTTACTCACTATTGAAAATCTATCCAAAGTTGATTGTAGTTTCGTATTGGATGATTTTTTTCTTGATGTTTCAAGAGGGAATAGTTTTTCATATTGCTTTCTGTGATGGTGCTGAAGATGTGATTTCAATCCAGTTGTGTTGCTCGCTTTCATTGGTATTTTTGTTTTATAATTACCACTTTCATCTTTTCCGCAAATCAAGCAAAAACCATGCTTCATATCTTCGACTTTTTCATAATGAAAAAAGTCCTTTAACGATTGTTTGTCATCGTCTTGTTGCACTGTCTGCTTTTCATTTTTTTCAACGACAGCAGTTTTCTCGGATTCGAAGCAATTAGAAGTAAAAATTTCTACGTTACCTGCAGAAATATTTATTTATATTGGATGTTATTTCACGCGAATGAATATTTACATTTGACAAACAACTTACGAAGATCACATTCTAGGCAGATTCTTTTTTCACTCGAACCTTCTTCTTCGCCATCAACTGATTTTGAACACTGTTCGTGTAAATGCACAAATTTACTGCATATAATACATGAGTGCTGAGATGGCTCATGTCCATTAACACATATAGGGCAGTTTGTCATGTTTTAAAATGTTTTTATAATTTTTATATGAATTATTTCACGAAACAACACACAATACGTTATCTTACACGAAACAGCAGCGACTGCTGTAGTCTAATTAAACAGTAGTGTAGTTCTGCTTTTTAGGTGCAAGTTCAAACGCGAAAAAACGACGACGATGTTGGAACGAGCAGCAGCATAGTTCTGCTGTTAGTGCGGATCTCCTTAAGCAGCAGCATAGTTCTGCTGTTAGTGCGGATTACAAGTCCGAACACGAAAAAACAAATGAACGTTGAGAGAGAGAGAGAGAGCGTAATGCAGTCGCACATTATACAACTGACAACATACGTACATATATAAATTTCATGTAGAAGGTCACGGCGACTACTCTAGCGGTAAACTGTGTTGTTATTATTTTTGGACATACAAATTTCCTATGATCGGTTGCTTCTCAAATGCGTCGAATAAGTTTGCATTGCAGAAAAAGTCGATATCAATAATTACGATATTATCGAGTAATTATTATCGACGATACAATATTATCGACACATTTTGTTAATGAAAATATCGTATTGATCTTGATATCGTAATATATAAGTATCGTATTGATATCGTCTCGTATTCGATACGATAACGATACGATATCGATATTTTTATCGAATATCGTGAAGCCCTAATCAGCATCAGCAGCTCGGCTCTGCTCAACTGTGTACACAGCTTCGCTGCCAACGAGCGCACCTACGCTAAATTGGTTTAATGTCAAGTCATTATCGGCCGAGAAACTCGGTCGGGCTCAGGCCCTTCGTGTTTTACCATAGTTAAGCGTCCAACTTCCGGTTTAACTGCGAGATGCGCGCAGATAGGACGACGTGTGGTGGCCCTTCGCTTTTCACCCTGTTGTCTGAGTTTCGCTCGGCTTCCAGGATCTCTTTCGTTACATTATCATACGTTAAAAACCATCGGCCGAAACTTTGTCGTCGTCGTCCTCGTGTACTGTCATCGTGTATCGCGTCTCGCGTCATCCTCGCCTGTGCAAGCGAGAAATGATGCGTCGCACGTTTACAATGGAACGTCTCCTGTATACACATTTTCATATTCGCTCGGCGACAGGTAGAATAATAATGATCGTATACACCGACGACGAACGACGATGTTTACACGAGCGCATTTTCATTCGATCGAGTCGGAATTACACGAAAGCATTAGATTTACATTTGTTTTTTTTCTTTTAACATCGAGACGAGTAGGCGTAGGAAAAATAAAACTTGAATTTTCCAACTGAATTTCCATTTCTCAATGACGAGTACGCCGCGCGCACGTCAACGAGTACTTTCATTCCGAACGCAGTCCCGTAAATATACATAAAAACGATGAGTTTGCGAAATATATATCGGTGAGATCGTACGAACATGACTAGCGTCGAACAGTCTTCTTTGGCGATTCTTAGAAATACTTAATTTTAATCGTTCATCCTCTGGTTATTTGGATGGCTCTCGGCCTTTCCTTCGATTCCTCGAAGGGATCGAAATTTTTTCCCATTTGGTGTCTTTTGTCTATTTTTTTGCGAAAATAAGTCACGTCTAAGAGTCTGCAAAAAATATATGCTATTGAACGAATTGTAGCCTTGAAATAACTTGAATTTAATTGGTAAAAAAATGTTACCTAATGGGTTTTTGTACGGGATTGCAGCTACATGACTTCTCGTAGGTCCATTTGCACTCGTAACTCTTTCTTATCATGCAAACTCTACCGATGGTTTGTGGGAAGATCAAACCTGTACATCAAATGAAAATATTAATTTTAAAAAAATGTTTCATTCGCCCATTCGTATGCGTGTTTCATTTATTTTTCTTTTGCGTCACTTACCAGGCACCGGCTCGATATCGGACTTTGGCGATCCTCCCCGGACTAGATCGTTGAAAAATACCACGATTAAAGCCAATAAAATATTGAACTTCGCCCTGTAATCCATTTGATCGGCAAATAACTGCAAAATCAGACAATCAATCACTGATCGGTACGAATAAAAAAAATTGAGTGGAAAATATTTCTTTCAACTCACTGTGCGGTATGTGAAAAATGCAAAGCATCACAGCAGCAGTGCTTCGTGCGTATGTGGAAGTGCAGTGCTCGGGTTCCAATCGGAACAAAAGTAATTAGAGCCGAAGTAAATTACAAAGCGCGTATCAATTTGTACCGACTGGATGTACGCGGTACAAACGTGTAATGCTCGATTCTTTTCGCTTTCCTCGACTAAATACCGAATTCGACGACAACACGTGCACTCGTCGTCGTCGTCCCACTCGTTCGCGATGATTTTCTCCGTTTTTTTTATTCATTAATAATCGTGAATCCCCTTAGTCATACGTACTTTGCGGAAAGATAAGGCGAGCAAAAGAGAGTGAGAGGTATCTGGGAATTGATTCCGAAGAAAAATATTTTATTTTACTCATTGTGTGTACACAAAGTGCGCAAAAAAAGGAAAAGCGTGGAGCATGTGTTACGATATACAGAAGAAGAAGAAGACACCACTGCTCGCTACACGTGACGATTCGTCACCGAGAATAACATAATATACGTTCGTACGAATTTTGCAACGCGTGATCAATGGTCAATTTTCTATTTTAAACCGAGATACAGCGTCGCGCGCCGAAGCTTTTTAAAAGTGCTATCTCGGTTCTTTGAACTTTTTTTTTCTTCTCGCAAACAATAACATCGACACGTTGCGTGTAGCAGCTCTGTTTATGTTTACGTTTTTATCGCACGTTTTTTCTGCAGCCGCTCGGCTACGCGCACACTTATCGCCGCGCGAGACACGGGCACTGGCAATTTGTGCGCCGCGGCGCGCGGAAAACGTTTAATTTAAAAATGAGTCAACCGATTCGCTGTTTTTTACCCCTTCCCTAACTCTTCGGGCAATCTTTCGGCTCATCGTTGCCGAAAAAGTTGATCATCAGCCTGCGCCTCTGCCTGCCTGCGATTATATACCGCCGAGGAAACAAAAAACGGAACGAAAACACAATCTTTATTGTGCCAATTTTTTTCCCCTTTCCCGAGAGTGAGCATGACTCGTGGTAATTTTAAGCCCATTAAACGGTACGCTCCGCGTTTTTTGAAGAAAAAAAGAAACAGAATAACGCGCAATATTGGCCTGCATATAATAACTCATTTGCGCCGCGCAAAGCTGCGTTACACAGCCAAGTGTCGAGCGATACGCGCTCGTTCTTATAGCGAGAATCATTCATCCGCGCGGCTAGAAAATATCACACGCACGCACACGTAGTTTGAGCAATATTCGCACATTAAAGAAGATTAAGTGGGACGTTCGCTTTAATTTCTCGGGGTTGAGCTGCGCGTCCATTACACGAAAGAAAGATATAAAGGGAGAGAGAGAGAGAGAGAGAGAGAAAAAAAATGGAATCAAAGGAGCGAACGCGAGAAATTGGCTGGTACTACATTTATACGAAGTTGATGTAATTCGCTTTGACTTGCGAAACACGCGGCTACTATACAGCCGAAGCTCGTGACGCCGCCGCTGCTGCTGCTGTTGTTTTATTCACAAGCTCCACGTGCAATATTTATGTAGTGTACAGGCACACACTTAATGCGAGTGATTACCGATGATGCGCCGCGTACATACGTATTTTATAATATACCCGCCAGCTCGCTTTGCAAATACACTCACGCGCGCGGGCAAGAGCCTCGAAACTCATGCTGCTGCTGCCGTTCGATCGGATTTTCCGATATGTCGACTCGCGAGACGTACCTCGAAGAGAGAGAGAGAGAAGCGTTCGAGAGCTTTCATCGAGCTAATTTTTTAATTATTGACCTATATTTCGAGGAGAGTAAAAAATTTAATTTTGAATGGTTCGGTTGTGTATAGCAGAGCGATTTTGACGCGCGCGGACATCGGATGCTTGACACACATTAATTTTGAGATCCGATGTAGCTCGAGACAAAAATTATGGAAGGCTGTGTATATTAAAAAATATACCGTATCGTTCGTCGCAATAAATGTAAAAAAAATAGTATTAATAACAATAATAATCTCGAGATCCTTTCAATTTGTAGTATTTATTGACTTTTTTTTTAATGACGTACTGCAGGAGCAATCGCTATTCGCTAGTATAGTTGAAATAACACACACGTGCGTCTCAAGAGCTCGAGTCCGATTGGCCTGGATATAAATCCAAACCAAAGCTCTATAAGGCAGCAGACATTATCCACTTTCGTATTATCCCGAACTTCTTTCGATTTTCCGCGCATAATTTCAAAGTCATCGATCGGCAAAAAAAAGAACGGCAATTACGCTTGTCTCGCGGGCGCGAGGATAATTCGTTCTGTCAACGCACATCCGCGCGGACACCAGCTGCTCGAGTTTAAAGAGAACACGCGATCGCCGCTATACACGCAGTGGAAGCCGTCAACTTGAATATATTTCCGCTCGTTGTCGTCGGCGATTATGCGCTTATTTTTCACCGAAAAACGTGCGCGCGAGCCGAGTCGACGCTTTTTGATTGTATCCGCGCGACCGTAGATTGCAGCCTTAAATTTTAAAAGAGCTCGCTTGAATTACTTTTTCGTGTGTACGTAGTTTGCTTTAACGCGCAGGATTGAAGCGTGATTTTTTTGCATGCCTCGCATTTGCTGCGCGATGAAGTATCAAATATTATATCGTTACAGCACCGACTTTTATCTACACTATACCACGCCGATGCATACGAGTTTATTTCGAAGCCACTTTTTAGAGTAAAGTACAGGAGATACTGTATTTTGTAAAATTATCAATGAGATAGTTATTTTACCATCACCTGTAGCTCCAATGACTAATTGAAAATCATTTTTGATACAATATACGTTGGCAGTGATACAATGCAATTATATACTGTGTTATATACTGTGTTATATACTGTGAATTGAGTTCAGAGATTTATTTCTTATTAGTCTAAACACACAAATTACATTGCAAGCAAATCGTGCGCCTGAATGACCGATATTTTCTTAACGACTTCGCTGTGAATTCTGCATATGGTTAGTCGACGGTAGAGGAGGGGATGTATCGACACGAAGTTATCACAATCGCGGGATAACCTCGCTAATACACGAGTACAGTGCGTTCAGTCGCTACCGAGGAGCTGCATTCCTATGTATAGCAAGCAAGTGTTTACAGTTTCGCAAAATCAGAGTACAGTGTTGGCGTATATAACCTCAAATATTTTCTCTGTGAAAATCGTGAAAATTGATAGTGAATCGTTTGATCAAGCGAATGATGGAAAACATAGAGGATACAGTTAGGTATGACATTTTTTTGAGCATTTTATGCTTTTTTTAAAGCGATTGTTTCATCAAAGTTTATTATTCTTCAGGGTGAAGCAAGAACGGATTGATACTCGGCCGGATGCAGGCGACGATTGTAATTTTAATTCGATGGGCTCTTGTGACATTGGGTAGCGTTTCTTTATATATGCTATGATATCTTTTCGAACGATCGCTTCATCAAAATTGATTATTTTCAGGATAAAGCAAGAACTGGATGATACTCGTCCGAATGCAGGCGACAATTATCATTCCGATCTGGATGACTCATGCGAAGTCAAAAACTTTGAAGCATTTACGTATTGCGAATCATCAGTGAGTATAACATTTAAATTATCTTTAGCTTTTCGACTAACTAAAACCATTATAAAATTTTAATTCTAGGCAAATCACGTGAATGATGATATGGTGCTACGAGAGAGATTAGATGAAAAAATATTTGTAGATTTCGAGTGCAAAAATGTTAAATTTGAACTGCCGTATTCATCGAGCAACGTCTGCAAATCTGAGTATCCAAATTATCTACCTATCGTAAAAGTAGAAAACGAAATTCAGACCAATTACTTGAGTGAATGCAAGGCGGTTGAAACCTTTAGAAAAAATACTGAACACAAATTATCATGCGAGTGCAAAATGTGTCGAAAAACTTATATTGAAAAATCAGATTTAAAAAGACATATCAATACAACACACAAGGATAGCAAGAGCCTTAGAACATATACATGTTTGATTTGCCACAAGTCATATAAACGCAAAGAACACCTCAAAAATCACAGAAAAGGAGTACATGATCGTAGTAAACCCTTCGAGTGCAAGATATGTCACAAATCATTTGGACACAAAGGCTATCTCAATATTCATGTGAATACAGTACATAATAGTAGCAAACCCTTCGAATGTGATGTTTGTCACAAATCATTTGGACAAAAATTTAACCTTAAATTTCACATAAATTCAATACATTCTCATAAAAAACCCTACGAGTGTGACATTTGTCAAAAATCATTTAGACAAAAAGGTAATCTCAATGCTCACGTAAAAGCAGTACACGATCGTAGCAAACCCTTTGAATGCGAGATTTGTCACAAATTATTTGGAAAAAAACCCACCCTCCAAACTCACGTACAAACAGTACATGATCAAAACAAACCCTTCGAATGTGAGATTTGTCACAAATCATTTGGACTTAAAGGTAACCTCAGATCGCATATAAAGGGAGTACATAGTAGTATCAAACCTTTTGAATGTGATATTTGTCACAAATCATTTGGACAAAAAGGTCACCTCATTTCTCACGTAAATGCTGTTCATAATTTTAGCAAACCCTTTGAGTGTGAAATTTGTCATAAATCATTTGGATACAAAACTAACATCAAAAGACACTTGAATTCAGTACATAATAAGATCAAACCATTTAAGTGTAAAATTTGTCAAAAATTATTTCGACAAAAAGCAAACCTTGGAAAACACGTTATGACAGTACATTAAAGTAGCTAAGTAGGAGCGTCTGATTTGTCTGTGGATACATCTGGGCGCAAAGACGATCTCTACCTTCGCATGAGTACACTATTTGATTTTTGTAAATCTTCACATACCCTTCTAAATTCTGATGGGCAATAAAATATATCAATCATTAAATCTTTTTTTTTTTCAATCACGTTTTTTTTTTCAAGAGAGCAGAACATTATATGCATTATAATACGATTGAGCCTGCACACGGCGCGATGTAGAAACCATGGGCGCGTGCACGAGACACAGAAGCGTAATTGACCCAGTTATATTAGTTCAACGTTCGCGCCTCTCTCTCTCTCTCTCTCTCAGTCAATGCTGTGTGTCGAGTACACCTACGCGTGAACGAGACGCGCGGCGCACACTCGTTGTATAGGCAGATGCGGCGCGCGACTCGAGTTGCTGCTGCTGCTACCGCTGCAGTGCACACAATATAATATCGCGCTCGTTGGCGCCGCCGCCGCACCGAACGCAAGTGAGAGTGAGCGCAGAATCTCTCTCCAGGCTATAAATTCTCTCGCCCGCGACCGAATGTTTCTATTTATTATTCAAAATTATGAATTATCTTTCGTTGCCGTTGCTGCTCGCGCGTTGTTGTTGATTGTTGATGATTGTTGCCGCCTGTGTATATATAAGCAATGTATATATATGTGTACAGTGGCCGCGAGAGATCTTCGCGCGCGAAATATTTCTGGAGAAAACTCGGCGCGCGCGCACTTTCAAACTGTTAAAATCGACTGCGTGCGCGCTGCAGTAATGCAGTTACGTTTATTTTTTTCCTTCTTATTCTTCGTCTTCGTCTCGGTTCGATAGTTATATTACAATGACACGTGGGTTAATAGAGCCTGATTAGGCGCGTTGGATCAATTGAACGTTGTGCAGAGGTCTCAGAGGGCGACCTATTTCACCCTGATAAAAAAATCATAAATTCCCACTTCGAAATAACACAATGTTGTAATATTGTAGTTTTAAATGAGCCGGCACACAATTACAGCTGTTATATTCTATCTACCACTTTGGTCGAACGAGCACATATTTTTGTTGTTTCAGCTCATTCGTTGATTAGGGTATACGCAATAATGACCCACGAACTTTTATACCTAACAATTTATTTTTCGATAACTTAACGGTCAATGAATTTATTTTTGCGGTCAAGCTTTTCGTTCAAATTTCCTATACGTACGTATTTTTTTTAAATCAATTGTTTTTTTCACATTATGTTTATGCAAATTGGAAGTCGAAAATTCGTGATTTCTCATAATAAATCACGTTAAAAGAGCAAATAATTTTTATTTTTTGCTTTTTCCACACAATTTTACGGTGAAAATTTGTATTTTAACATGAAAATTCATATGACAAAGTTTCAAGACGATTGACTTTGAAAAAAACTGATGCATTTCAAATGAAACCTCCGTACATTCTTAAACGAGAGAATAGAGATAGATGCAACAGCAAAAAAAAAACCAACAAACAATCGACGTATATAGTCGCGACTAATCATCGCGTGTCATCGAACTCTCATCTTTCTCTCTCTCATCTCCCTCTCCAGTACACGCAACGATTAATTACTCATTCGTATAATAATTTCCTCGTCGTCGTCGTCGTCGGTCGGGTGCGCGCACGGAAGCCAGATCTCGCGCGAGGCAAAGGTAAATAAAGTATACGCGCTCTTTTTAATAAAACAACAAACAATTATCAATGAAATCGAGGAAAAAAAAAAGAAGACGATGAATCCGTATACGCGGGTTCATTATGTACACCCGAACTTCCTGCAGCGATGCGAAACACAAAGCTCGCTCGCGCATAATACTTATAGTCGGATCGAGAGATTCTCTCTCTATATATATGGGTCAAAATAATACTTTTTTACAAAACCGTGCGCACGTATGTCACCGATCTTGACGCGCTTTTGGTATGTTATAGTACATGGTAAAAAGGTCCCAAAAAAAAATTTTTAGACCCCCTCCCCCCTCCTACCCCCCACTTCCGGTATAAACGTCCATTTTCGATCTATATTTTTTCTGAGGACATGAAGCAAGTAAAAAATCTGAAAAAATTCATAAAAATACTTTTCCACAATCCAAACAACCTTGAATTTTTTCAGATTTTTTGAGTGCTTCAGGCCTTCAGATAAAATCATTGAAAATTTCAAAAATCGAGATACGGCGGTATGAGCCGATGTAGTACTCGGAAATTTTTTCAGTTATTTTTCGCATTAAAAAACATAACCTCAATTTTTTTCAGATTTTTTCAGATTACCTAACGCACCTTTTGAAGCCAAAAACCGATTTTTTTGACGAAAATAATTTTTTTAGGACAGTACGGAGCCTCGAAAAATCTGAAAAAAATTTTTTCTTGTTTTTTTCATCAAAATACGTAATCTCAAATTTTTTCAGATTTTTTAATTGAAGGCGATAGCTTCTAGGGCCGAAAAATGCTATTTTTAACAAAAAATGGTTCCTAGAACCCGATGGTTCCGGTGAAAAAATTTGAAAATATTTTTTTTGAATTCCTTGTCAAATTTTAATAAATTTTGACCGTTTCAAAAGTTCGATTGAAGCTTCCTAGCTCATTTTAGAGCATCAAACGAGTTTTATCATTCCTTAATGTCTTCAGAAACGTCTTCAGATATTTTGCACTAATCTTTGTCCTGCTCTAAAATGAGCTAGGAAGCTTCAATCGAACTTTTGAAACGGTCAAAATTTATTAAAATTTGACAAGGAATTCAAAAAAAATATTTTCAAATTTTTTCACCGGAACCATCGGGTTCTAGGAACCATTTTTTGTTAAAAATAGCATTTTTCGGCCCTAGAAGCTATCGCCTTCAATTAAAAAATCTGAAAAAATTTGAGATTACGTATTTTGATGAAAAAAACAAGAAAAAATTTTTTTCAGATTTTTCGAGGCTCCGTACTGTCCTAAAAAAATTATTTTCGTCAAAAAAATCGGTTTTTGGCTTCAAAAGGTGCGTTAGGTAATCTGAAAAAATCTGAAAAAAATTGAGGTTATGTTTTTTAATGCGAAAAATAACTGAAAAAATTTCCGAGTACTACATCGGCTCATACCGCCGTATCTCGATTTTTGAAATTTTCAATGATTTTATCTGAAGGCCTGAAGCACTCAAAAAATCTGAAAAAATTCAAGGTTGTTTGGATTGTGGAAAAGTATTTTTATGAATTTTTTCAGATTTTTTACTTGCTTCATGTCCTCAGAAAAAATATAGATCGAAAATGGACGTTTATACCGGAAGTGGGGGGTAGGAGGGGGGAGGGGGTCTAAAAATTTTTTTTTGGGACCTTTTTACCATGTACTATAACATACCAAAAGCGCGTCAAGATCGGTGACATACGTGCGCACGGTTTTGTAAAAAAGTATTATTTTGACCCATATATAAAATGCATGATATAGCTCGATCCTCGCCGCCGACTCGGCGTGGTAAACCGAAGACTGCGCGCCGCGATCATGCCATTCTTCGCGGTCGAGTGTACTACTATTACTATATCTGCTATAGACTACAGAGCTCGGTGGCGATAATCGCTAAAATCATCAAGAAACTGCGTGTTTATACAAGTTGTATATACACATCGAGCTCGCGCGCGCCTCGCTTCGCTGTTTACGATCTCTCTCTCTCTCTCTGCAGCACGAGGTAATGCACATCGTACATATAGGCAGCATAGATATATAGATATACGAATAGGAGAGACAATAGGGCAGGAGCGGTTATGCTACGCGCTCAAAATTTGAATAATCCCGAGACTTATCTGTATCCATCTCAATTCTCTCTCTCTCTCTCTCTCCCTTCGTGTAAGTCGCGAATTTCTCCCACGCTATATATAGGTATATGTTATATATATACGGAAGCATGCGCGCGCGAGCGAGTATCACTCCCACGTGCGCGGAAAATCAACGGTGTGTCGCGGATACGCATTTTTTTCCATTTTTTTTTTTGTTTTTTTTTTTTTTCAGAAAAAAATTCATGTATAAATTGAGAATCCATTGTTCGCGTGCGTGTGTCTGTGTGCAACAAAGTATATGACGGGAGAGAGAGAGAGAGGACGAGGAGGAGGAAAAGGTTTAAGAAATGAAGCGCGGTTGCGACACATTTTGACTCGCGACTCTGGCGGATTGCGATCACGAGTTTTTCGCTCCTTTCTTTCTACTTTTCTTTCTCTCTCTCTCTGCCTTCCTTTTTTGGGCCAAAAAAAAAGTAGAAAAAAATCAAGAAGCGATCGCACGAGTGATATTTGCATGTTTCGCGGTCCAAGTTTCGTAAACGCAAGTTTCGCTCAAGAGCCTCATGTGTGTAGTAGTCCGCGAGCTGCCGAGCTCGTTGAGTAAGCGTCGTCCTATAAGTATACGTGCAAATAGGGATGCAAGTGCTCTCGTTTTCAATGAAATGCATAAACTGTAGTTGTACTTACGTTGCGTAGAGGTGGTACGTAAGAGCCGCCGATGCGCGTCGGGAATCATAGGTCCCCCCGTCCTGCGCGCAGAGAATCGAATCTCCCTCGGCGCGTCGATAAATAATTAAATCTTCGATCGGACTGCGCGGAAAGGGGGGGGGAGGGGATTAATTTGTTAATTTCACGCCGATTTTATGATATATCCGACGCGCGTATTATTAATTCGAGAGGACACTTATAAAATACATATCCTGCAGACCGCGCGGAGACGACCGGATCGGCTCGCGAATTATACGGAGGCTTACGCGCGAATATAAAAGAAATCCTGATCCGATCGCGCGCGGCGATGATCGTTGATCGAAATTCGATCGCGTGTACCGGATTCGAGAGTTATATGCAATTGACAACGCGCGAAATAAATACAATTTAAAAACGAAAATCGGCAAAGCGCGTCCGTTCAACCGAAAACTTTTACACGCACCAACCGCCTTTGAGATGCCTGTTTGGTTTTCTTTTCACTCTGCGTACTTTGAATTCTATACGACAGCTTTACGAAAAATATCACTCGACAAGTCTATACGCGGCGCGACGTAACATTGCACATATTACACATTTGTAATAAATAATATAAAAAACGCGTGCGTGCACCTACATATATATAAGTGCGGTGCAGTCGACGGCGCCCACGCAAACTCGCGCGCGTCTCGTTAACCGCTACCGACGACGACTACGACGACGATGATTCGTTTTTCTTTCATTTCAGCGCGCGAAACGGTCGCCTATATATAACTCGCGATTGCTCCGTGTCTACGAGTGTGTGAGTGTCCATTAATGTGTATCGCCGTCCGTGTGTGTGTACGGCGGCGCATCGCCGTGACGCAATCCCGGCGCATAAATGTATAGCTAGCTAGAACATCGCGCGCCACATCCGGAACAGTACTATAATGCAGCACAGCGCAGTATATAGTTGTAACATAAACGATGAGTCTCGAGCGCGACCTATAACGCCAAGATATTCGTATTGTGCGCCGGTGAATTAAATGATGAATCGAATCCGTGGCGGCGGCCCCGAAGTCCCCGAAGGATATGTTATAGGTACCATAAAACGCGCACGCACTACACATAGCTCCACAAATTATCGTTGCACCGTTCGAAGGGGAGGGGCTTCACATTAGTGCGTCGTTTATTATCTTGCCACTATTATGCATATAAAGCGCCGCGTTCGGTGATGAATCGCGAGTTGCTATACGGCGTCGGCGGCACTTACATACGTACATATAGTTACATAAACACCGAGCGCTCGCGCGCGCGACACAATATCTTGGATTAAATCGCGCGAGCCGTGCATTTAATATGAATGCCGAAAACAAAATTGATTGAGCTCGTTGCTCGGCTCCTCGTGATGCGTATACCGTTCGTCAAGTTCAACAATTAGATTACGTCGCGTATCTGCTCCGCGCGAGAATACACGCACGCATCGGGGATTTCTCTATATATGCTCGGGTGAAGAGGTGTGAACTTGGACGTGTATTTTAGGTTGCGGTAATTGAGCGACGACCCTCTCTACATGGCTCTTTCTGTTTGACACGAGCAGCAGTAAATCCCCCTCAGTATAGTATGCCCAAAAGTCTTGAGATATCCTTGAGCTTATTTTTTCTTTATGTACCTTACTCAATTATTTTCTGAAAAAAACGAATTTTCCAAGTTTTAACAATGGAGTATAAGAGTTAGTTCAATTTTAATACATATCTCATCTTTCATGCTGCCCATAATGGACCCATACGAAAACTCAGCCTCGCTTCAGCTATCCGATCCGTCGACGCCCGGCTCAGAGCTATCCAGCAGTGCCGTATGATATTGGTACTGTTTGCGCTTCACACCGCTAGGTGGCGCCTGCTCGTGAGCGTCGCTCCCATAAGCGACTGAGCGAAGAGAGGCCTATATACTTATAATTTAATTCCTTGCTTCGTAAAAATTTAACTCAGCAACGATGTAAAACATTGCTATGATGATCAACTGGATACGCCATAAGCGCTCGAAATTGGGAGCCGAGAAAGCCAACGAACTCGAAATATATCTCGCCAGAGATCTCTGACAAGAAATTTGGGAAAACTCATTGAGTAATTATCCACTTCAGAAGGAACAGTGGGGCAACACACTCCTGCATGTCATTATTGATTGCCATAAACACCGCTCGGACTACTTGGCGAAGGTACTTTTGGAGACTAGCAAAGAATGTCTTGAAGTGGATCTTAAAATTGAGCCGGTACAAGCCGATAAGCCAGATCGTTCGGGTAATACACCGTTGGGACAGCCATTTGGCATATTTAACATATTTGGGAAGCACCCGGACGAATTTGAGTCGACTTCGACTTCGAGATGGGTCTCGAATAACCAGTTAACTTGACTGTTTTTATAGCAGGTTTTCGGTTTCTACGCGGTTCGACACCTAGCGGCGCAATTCGTAATTGCTGAAATAACAGCTGATCTTTGTTTACGAGGCTAACCGAAGTTTTGGTTCATTATTTGCAAGACTTATAATAGTAGCTTACTTTTTTATTAAATTCAATAAATGTCTATTTTTTATGAAGTTCGGTTTGTAATAAATTTCAAACGTACATGTAGAAATGCAATGTAGTTAAAATACGAAGCTGGACAGATCAGCACCACGATCCAAGACCACATCGACGTTATTTAGCAAGACACTCGCAACGATCCATTGAAACGGCGCCCAGCCGAGAGAATTTCGCCAAACACAGCTATGGAAAAGAGGATCAGGAAAAATTTAACGCTCACTTGGCTAGGATTACATATAATTTTGATCCTGACCAAACCCTAATAGCACAATACGTTTTTATAACGTTACTGAAACGTTCAATTGGAAACCTTAGAACGTTTCAGAAAAAAGTCGAAAAAACGTTTGTAGAACCTACCAGAAACGTTTAAATGTCCGCCCCTGCATTTCGTTTCTGAATGTGTACAACGTGGTAGGAACGTTTAAAAAACGTTCTGCCTGGCAAACTGAACGGGTTATCCGATGTTACATTTCAACGAAGATAATTTATCAACGCGCTAATTTTTATCGATTTCCGAGTGAAATACTTAGCTTTATTTTCCTTGCGTAGCTGCGATGACCTTCGATCACATATGCCGATCTACCATACTACGATGCTTAGTTTAGGCTGCCGATGATCAGCGGTGGAAGATGCCGAATTTCCAATGATGCGGTGCCACAGTTTGCCGATGTCACAAACACTAGTTGATGTGTCCGATCAGCAGTAAACTCTTCGGATTAATCCGCCGACCTGATATGATTGGTAGTCGCGATGTCTCCGACGAACACCGATGTACGTTGCTGATCCGCACTGTACGAATAGGCCCACCTTTTTCGATCTCCTATGTTGCCGCTGTAGTTGTCGATTTCTGATGGCACTGCTCAACAAAATGTAAAGATTTATAATTAATAAAAAAGATAAATTTTTGATAGGTTACTTCTGTCAATGAAAACAAAATTTATTGAATCTGCTACGACTTGAATTTAGCAGGTATTATCATGCCAATGTTCAAGACGCATAGCATCATCTAAATTCAAGTCGTAACAGAATCAATAAATGTTGTTTTCATTGACAGAAGTAACCTATCAAAAATTTATCTTTTTTATTAATTATAAATCTTTACATTTTGTTGAGCAGTGCCATCAGAAATCGACAACTACAGCGGCAACATAGGAGATCGAAAAAGGTGGGCCTATTCGTACAGTGCGGATCAGCAACGTACATCGGTGTTCGTCGGAGACATCGCGACTACCAATCATATCAGGTCGGCGGATTAATCCGAAGAGTTTACTGCTGATCGGACACATCAACTAGTGTTTGTGACATCGGCAAACTGTGGCACCGCATCATTGGAAATTCAGCATCTTCCACCGCTGATCATCGGCAGCCTAAACTAAGCATCGTAGTATGGTAGATCGGCATATGTGATCGAAGGTCATCGCAGCTACGCAAGGAAAATAAAGCTAAGTATTTCACTCGGAAATCGATAAAAATTAGCGCGTTGATAAATTATCTTCGTTGAAATGTAACATCGGATAACCCGTTCAGTTTGCCAGGCAGAACGTTTTTTAAACGTTCCTACCGCGTTGTACACATTCAGAAACGAAATGCAGGGGCGGACATTTAAACGTTTCTGGTAGGTTCTACAAACGTTTTTTCGACTTTTTTCTGAAACGTTCTAAGGTTTCCAATTGAACGTTTCAGTAACGTTATAAAAACGTATTGTGCTATTAGGGAAGCAAGCGTTAACCCAAATAAATGAATAAATAAGTTAAGAGAGCTCCACACCAACGTTGCTTCGAAATTTCCTGACATTTGACAATGCTACAATCTCTAGATCCTGCCAATAATCCGCGCTATGCAGTTCGCTGTAAGTGACATTTCATAATGGCAAACGATCTCTGCGAGCTCCGCTGCGAAAATTGCCGCTCGCGCGTAATATTTCGGACGAGAGAAAAGAATCGCTGCCTCCTTTGAGCAGAAAAAAGCAAAAAAAATGAAAGAATAAAAAAGCAAAAAAAAAAAACAAAATAAGGCGCATAGTGTGCAGAGCATCGTCGTCGTCGTCGTCGTCTATACACGTACGCGTATATATGAAAAATACCTCTTATAAGCGGAACGAGGTTAATCGTCCTCAACGGAGCCGACACCTTTTTTGCAGCTGCAATTTCAGATTCTCTCTCGCTGCCTCGCGCGCTTGTTCGATCAAAAATAATCTCCTTCAATATTCGCAAGAGATTTCTTCGTCTGCTGCTGCTGCTGCGACGGTTCCTTATCACCACCTCGCTCGCGCGCGCGACGCGCATTCGGTATAAAAGAGAGGCAGAGAGAGAGAGCTGAGCTGAGCTGAGCGAGAGAAGGATAAAAAAAAATTTTTCTTTTCCTTTCCATCCCAAATCTTCGTATAACAGCAGCAGCAGCAGCAGTGGCAGTGCCAGAAGAAATCCCATCACGGGGAGTTTCTTTCCATGGCAAATCGAAATCTTTCTCTCTCTCTCACATACACACACACACACACACACACGACGATGTATAAGACGCCGAACAACCGCAGCGTAGAAAAAAAAAGAGGAAAAAGAGAAGCTAAGAAATGTGTCTCTCGCACACCAATATTATTCTATACATTTACCTGTACATATATGTACCAACCCCCTCACCCGTCGCGGGTTCGATCCGTGTGTGCGAGTCGCGCGTGTGTTATATACTTGGGGGGCTATAGGAGAGATCCAATCCTTGCGCCACCCACTCCTGCCCAAACGATTATGTATCGGAAAGACATTAGAAGCTGAACGGCGTGGCGTGCGCACGCGTATAGGTATACACACAGACGAGCGCGAAACGAGCAATAAAAATATTTCATTTCTGTGTATATAACTACCGATCGCTCGATCGAGAGCCGAGCTGGTGCTGCTGCTTCTCCATGTGTAAGTGGGTGTGTGTGGTACAGGAATCCACCGATGTTTCTGATTTGCCGTTTAAATTCTTAATTCCTTGCGGCTATATCCTCCCTCGACGCGCGCACACACACACGTGTATTATGCATTATATACATATAGGTAAACAGGTGTTTTATGCCACGAACGCGCGCGCGCGTGGAGCGATTTTTACGACCCGACCGTATTTTTTCTACCTTTAGATAGCTCGAGAGCGGAGCGAGCGTTTCAAAAGTTGATGCGCTCGAGGTACCGTGCATACAGGACCCGATGGTCCAACCTAAGGGGAAAAATTGACGACGAGTTGCCCGCGTAAAACATTCTTTTTTTATCATTCGGGGTAAGCTTTCGCTTTTGTTGTAAGTGTGTGTCTGTGTGTACGTTCCTGTCTCTCCATCTCTTTCTTTCGTTATTGGTAGCTATACGGAACAGAGTAGATTTTATTTAGACACGAGCGCGGCAAACATCGTGTAAGTTAAATTATCGTTGGTTGTTTATAACGCGCTTGCTTTGGCTTGACACACACACACGCACACAGTCACACACGTGTGCGAAAGTATAATACCACTCGGCTTGTAAATTTTTCAGTCATAATACATTCGTACACGAATGAAATAAAATTTTGGAACACGAAAAATACATTTCTCGATGCTCGAGCTCGTTTTTTTCTTTTTTTTTCTTCACGTACTGCGCGTCCATCGGAAAAAGCGACCAAGGCGTACATAGTCTTCTCTTTCACGGCCGAAAGTTTTCTTCAATCATTCTCGTTCGCGTCCCGAAGCACGAGCGAATTCCACAGCCGAGCAATCCCCTGAACTAAAACTACAACAACATACCGGCCTGGGCTAGCAGCAGCTGCTCCCGAGTATATAAACGAAAGAATGCAGAGTCAAATTTAATTGCTGCTGCTGTTACGTGGGTGGATGTATATACGAGCTTTTCTCGCCGCGGCGACTGCAGTGCAATAACGATCAATTAAAATATTATATACATACGATCGTAATATCTCGGAGACTCGAGCTGCGAATTCTATACGGTGCACACGTCGTATAGCGTACCGTTTCGGAAGCTTACGTGAAAGTCCGTCACGAGTGCTGACAGTGCGGCAGTATAGCGATGCTGCAACGCATATACTCGAAAGCACAAAGTCTCGGTGATGCTGAAAAAAAGTTACGGCGATGCTGAGAGAGAGAGAGAGAGAGAGAGAGAGAGCCATTGTCTCCGCTCGCGACTGCCAAACGACACATGTGCATGTAAATTTATTAAATTTTTTTTTTCCGACTTATTCTTCGTTTTCATCTTTCGCTCGCTTGTGCATCGCAGTCGCACTCGTGCGGCTTGTCGAACGCGCGGACTCTAGCGACGCGACTCTGTACGAGCTTTCCCCTGTGTCTCGCGGCGAGGCAACTTCATTATCATCGGATTAGATGTATCCGCACGTTCGACACTTCTCTTTCTCTCTCTCACATACACACACACACACACATATACACTAAGTCGTTGCATAGAGAAAAATACAGAAAGAGAGAGAGAGAGAGAGAGAGAGAGAGAATAGAGATGGAGAGAAAAAAAACAAGTTGCAGCCAACGTCAATGCGCTCGTTCGCTCGCATGAATATTTAAGATTTATATTGTCTTTGCCCCGGAATGGCCTTATGAGTGTGTGTGTGTGTGCCTGAACCGTGAAAGCTGCAGTGCAAAGCAGCTTATGTGGAGCGTCCTTGTCGCTTGAACTTGTCCATTATAAACGTGTGTGTGTGTGCGCGAGCTCCGACACAATCACTGCACGCGCCGGCATGCAGCAACTACTCGACGATCTGCGCTCGAGCCCACCTCGTGTGTGCGCGCACATTTATGCGATTTTCTCCATCCTATGCATAGAGCCTACGTATATACTGTAGAGAGAAGAAAAGTTTCTTCTTCTGTATATAAACTACGCGCGCAAATATTTGATATGTTTCATTGGGTCGGACGCGGTATATAACGTCGACTTGCATTCTGTGCGTAAACGCACGGCTTGGGATTTTCTTTTTTCTCGGAAAACGATATTAAATTCGTATACGTATGTGTCTCTCTCTCTGTCTGACTCTTACGCTCAATAAGCGTCTTATATGCGCGCGGCTCTCGATGGTCAAACTGGCTGATGATGTAGATAATGATGATGATGATGATGACGACGACGATGGCTGCGAGTGAGAGAGTCGAAAGCGCAAACGTGAAACAATAATACACATATCGCCGCGCGCCCGGAGAGAAATTCGTCTCGTTAAATGCGAAAAAGATTTTCGTGCGCTGATTTTCGTATTTCTCTGTACAAACAAACTCGACACCTTTTCCGCTTTGCTCGTCTTTTATCCATTAGAGATTTTTTCGTATGTATTGTAATATAAAAATTCATTGCATAAGTCGCCCTCGTTAGTGTCGCGGAGAAACCAACGACGATCTGCGCGGACATCACGCATGACGAAGGTACACGCGTCAAACCGCAAAATTTCGTCACGACGCGCGTCATCGATTTTTTTCCAATTAGAAGCGCAAAACGAGCGACCACACACACACACACATACGCCATATTATAGCTGCCGTAATAATTGAAAACGATTCGTCGAAAGACAGGCCGCGAATATCGTGAGAGTACGTATACGTTGAACAATTGTTTGGACACTAATTTTCGTGTGTATATAATCACCTGCTCTCTCTCTCTCTCTCTCTCTCTCTCTCTTTGGCTTTCTGCACGGTAATGATGCAATTAATTACCCGCATCGAGTCGCTCGCGACCGAAATTTACGTTTACGTAAAAAGTAAGAAGAAAAAAAGGGGATCAAAGAGTAAATAAGCACGCACGACGACGACGAGAAAAATGACTTATACCTGTGAAATTTTTCTTGACGCGGTAAAGAAAGAAACGACTCACGGGAGCGGCGCGAATCGATGTTAAATGATTCTTAAATTGCGCCTCGAGACGCGTTCATCCCCCTTTGAAAATTGAAATAATTAGTTATACCGCGCGGCGCCGCACCAAACTTTCTCGCATTAAACATAAGACGAACAAGAAGAAGAAGCTGACTGGGATCGCCGCCGCAGGATGACACGTGTATAATTATTCGATCGGATATTTTTTTGTCCTTAAAAATTAATCATAACTTCCTGGAAACGTCACGGTCGTGGCGTCGGTCGATGCATCATGCGTGAGCTGGGCGCAGGTGATCCTCGTGCCGCGACGACCGCAGGATTGACGAATCCAGCAACGAACCCTCCACGATGAGTCAAAAAAATGAAACATTTCTCGACTTGAGCTTACTAATTGCTAAGCAAAAATAATCAGTCAGTCAGCCAATTTTTGAAAATCTGTCACTGATGATCGAGTATTCGATCAATTCAGTATTAGGTATCACGTAGGAGATTAGTAATTAGTAGTACAAAAAGCTGAAAACACCACAAGTTCTGCTCATAAAGGTGTAATGATAGTTGAACTTCCAAGATTGTGGTAATACGCAATTATTTTAACACAATTTTCATTCATATTTTAGAAAAACATATGTATCAATACATATATTTATAATTTTATTCTTATACTATAATATTTAATTATTATATATTAAGCTTATGAGTATCAAAACATATTTATAATTATCAATCATTAGTTAATTTCTTAATTATGAGGTAGTAAGCCTAATTTTTGCAATATTCATAAACAGTTTTTTCGAGTTTGAGCAAATGCATTTTTTGTCTACATTGCTTCTCGCACTTGTCACATACATGATCTTAGTGACCTTGGTGGGCTCTTTTTATGTGCAATGTCAAATTACCTTTTACTCCAAATGTCTTGTCGCATTTATCACATTCATAATCTTTGCGACCATCGTGGACAGTTCTAATGTGCGAGAGCAAATAACATTTATATCCGAATACTTTTTGGCATTTCTCGCATTCGTAGCTACCTTCATGTACTGTCTTCTTGTGATAGTACCAACCCGATTTTTGTCCAAATCTCTTGTCGCACTGGTCACATGCATAATCTTTGCGACCCTCGTGTACTGACCTTTGATGGATGAGCAAATAACCTTTAGTTCCAAATTTCTTTGTGCACATGTCACACGCGTAATTTTTGCCACTTTCGTGGGCTGTTTTTTGGAAACTGGTCCAACTGCTACGATCCTCAAATGTCTCTCCGGAATCGTCACGCAATGAGTCTTTGCTATTCTCATGGCTCATTTTTTGGTGTTTGATCAAACTGCTTCGATCTTGAAATGTCTCCCCGGTATCGTCACATAAGTAAGCTTTGACCTCTTCGTGTATCGGCTTTTGGAGGATGAGAAAATGCTGTTTTTCTACAATCGTGTTCTCACAATTGACGTATACGAGATCTTTGGGATCTACGTGGTCTGTTTCTTGGTTTCTGGTAAAACTGCTTCTATCTTCCAATGCCTCCCCACACTTTTCGAACGAATAATCTTTGTCACATGCATGAGCTGTGGCTTGGTGTTCGGTCAAACTGCTCTGATCCTCGAATATTCGCATGCAATTGTCACATAAGAAGACTTTACTACTTTCGTGGGTTATTTTTTGACGTTTGATCGAACTCCTTTGATCCTCAAAAATCTCTTCGGAATCGTCACATAAGTAATGTTTGCCACCTTCGTGTATCATTTTTTGGTGTCTAATCAAAATGCTTAGATCCTCAAATGTTTCCCCGCAATTTTCACACAAATAATCTCTGCTACTTTCGTGGGTTGTTTCTTGATGTCTAGTCAAAGTTCTTAGATCCTTAAATGTCCCCCCGCAAATCTCACATAATAAGTCATCTTCGAGATTTTCTTGTTCTTCGTGAATTGTTTTTTGATGATTGGTCAAACTATTTAAATCTTCAAATGTCTCTCCACAATTTTCACATAATAAGCAATCGTTGCCATCTTCGTGTGATATTTCTTGGTGTCTAGTCAAACTGCTTGGATCCTCAAAAATTTCCCCGCAAATTTCACATAATGAGTAATCTTTGCCACCTTCATGAGCTGTTGTTTGGTGTTTGGTGAAATTGCTCTGATCCTCAAATGTTTGCCCACAATTGTCACATAAGAAATCTTTGTTACTTTCGTGGGTTACTTTTTGGCGTTCGATTAAACTTCTTTGATCTTCAAATGTCTCTCCGGAATTGTCACATAAGTAATGTATTTCATCATCGTGTACTATTTTTTGGTGTTTAGCCAAATCGCTCTGATCCTCAAATATTTTCCCGCAGTCGTCACATAAAAAATCTTTTTTAATTTCGTGGGCTGTTTCTTGATGTCTGCTCGAACTGCTTGGATTATCAGTCTCCGCGAAATTTTCACATGAGTATTCTTTCGGACCTTCGTGTACTGACTCTTGGGAGGTAAGCAATTGCAATTGCTGGTTTTGCTCAATTTCGTCCTCGCAATTGTCATATACGCAATCTTCAGGATTTTCTTGGGCTGTTTCTTGAGGGGTGAGAGATTGCTGTATTTTTTGACTTTTGTTCTCACAATTATCGAGTACGTCATCTTCGTGAACTTCTTGGACCGTTTCTTGGTGGGCGAGCGAACTGCTTGGAACCTCAAATATCTCCCCGGGATTATCACATAAGTCATCTTTATCAGTTTCCATCAAACCTTTGGAACCAAAAAAAATTGAATAAATTATTTTTTAAAATTCAAGGAAACAATAACTAGCAAATTTGAAAAAAATAAATATGAAATATTAAGTTAGCTGTGTATGGATAATTGAAAAGTACAAAATAGAAAGAAGAAAAATCTTGAGAATTTAAAAAAAAACATGAAGAATGAAAAATCAAACAAATGTTAAAATCATTGTAAATAAGTGAAGTTCAACCTTCGTGTACTATTTTTTCGTGTTTAATCAAACTGCTTGGATCCTCAAATGTCTCGCCGGAGTTATCACATAAGTAATGTTTAAACTCTTCATGTACCGACTTATGGAGGCTGAGCAATTGTTGTGTTTGTTCAAGGTTTTTTTCGACATTGTCGATTACGTCATCTTCGTGACTTTCTTGGGCTGTTTCTTGGTGGATGGGCAGTTTGGGAGCTTCGAGTACTATTTTTTGATGGGTGAGCAATGGTTGTGTTTGTTCAAGGTTTTTCTCGACATCGTCGATTACGTCATCTTCGTGACTTTCTTTGGCTGTTTCTTGGTGGATGAGCAATTCATGGTTTTGTTCAATTTTATTTTCGCAATTATCATACACATAATCTTCATGATTTTCTTGGGCTGTTTCTTGAGGGGGGAGCGATTGCTGTGTTTTTCCAATTTTGTTCTCACAATTGTTAAATACATCATCTTCGTGACCTTCTTGGGCTGTTTCTGGGTGGGTGATTAAATTGCTTCGAGCCTCGAATGTCTCCACGACATTTTCGCATATGCCATCTTTAGGATCTTCTTGTAACGTCTCTTGGCGGGTGAACGATTGCTGTTCTTGTCCAAGTTTACTCTCATTTTTGTCGCATACGTCATTTTTAGGACCTACTTGGATTGTTTCTTGGTAGATGATCAAATTGCTTCGAGCCTCGAATGTCTCTCCGACATTTTCACATATGATATCTTTGGGATCTTCGTGTGAGGTCTCGTGGTGGGTGAGCGATTGCTGTTTTTGTTCAAATTCGCTCTCGTTATTGGCGGCGTCATCTCTCTGTCCTTCTTGGGATGTTTCTTGGTGTATGATCAAACCGCTTAGAACCACAATCGTCTCCTCGAAACTTCCACATACGTCATCTTGGCGATTTTCTTGGCTTATTTTTTGGCGTTTGATCAAATGTCTTTGATCTTCAAATGTTTTCTCGACATTTTCACATATTTTATCTTTGGGATCTTCGTGTAACGACTCTTGGTGGGTGAGTGATTGCTGTTTTTGTTCAATTTTGTCCTCGCAATTGTCGTATACGTGATCTTTGTAACTTTCTTGAGCTGTTTCTTGATGGGTTATCAAATTGCTTGAAACCTCAAATGTCTCTCTGAAACTTGCAAATACGTAATTTTGGCGATTTTCATGGACTGTCTCCTGGTGGGCGAACGATTGCTGATTTTGTCTAAATCGGCTCTCGTAATTGTCATTCACGTAATCTCTGCGACATTTGTGGGCTGCTGCTTGATGTAGAAGCAAACTTTTTTTATATCCAAACTTCTTTCCACACATGTCACATTCGAAATCTCTGCGACCCTCGTGGGTTACTCTTTGGTGTCTTAACAAATTTCCTCGAAACGAAAATTTCTTATTGCACTGGTCGCAAACTGTATCATCGCGACCTTCGTGCACCCAATTCATGTGCCGGGTCAAATCATTACGATAACTAAATTTTCTACCGCAGACTTCGCAGGCAAAATTTTCGTGACTCTCATAGACCATTTCTTGGTGGCTACTCGAGTCCGATGGATTACTCTTTTTGGGTGCATAAACGATTCGACTTTCATGTATTTCTTTTTGGTGCCTGATCAAAAGCCTTTTGCGCTCGAATTTGAGCTCACAACTATCACATGCAAAATCTTTGCGGTCTTTGTGTACCATCATTTGGTGCCTATTCAAAGTACTTTCATACACAAATTTTTCTTCGCATTTGTCGCAAGCGAATTCTTTGTGGCCTTTGTGTACAATCATTTGGTGCCTATTCAAATGACTTTGATACGAAAATTTTTCTTCGCACTTGTCGCAAGCGAAATCTTTGCGGTCTCTGTGTACCATCATTTGGTGCCTATTTAAAGTACTTTGATACACAAATTTTTCTTCGCATTTGTCGCAAGCGAATTCTTTGCGGCCTTTGTGTACAATCATTTGATGTCTATTCAAATGACTTTGATACGAAAATTTTTCTTCGCACTTGTCGCAAGCGAAATTTTTGCGGCCTTTATGTACAATCATTTGGTGCCTACTCAAATGACTTTGATACGAAAATTTTTCTTCGCACTTGTTGCAAGCGAATTTTTTGTAGCCTTTGTGTACAATCATTTGGTGCCTATTCAAATGACTCTGATACACAAATTTTTCTTCGCACTTGTCGCAAGCGAAATCTTTACGGCCCTCGTGGACATTTTTTATGTGAAGGAGCAAACTATTTTTATTTCCGAATCTCTTCCCGCAATTGTTACATAAGTAATTATTGAAAACTTCGTGGAATATTCTTTTGTGCTTAAGTAAAGATGATTTATTTTCAAACTTTTTTTGGCACTTATGGCATGAGAAATCTTCACGATGTTTGTGTACCATTTTTTGGTGCGTAAACAAACTCGATTTTTTCGCAAATTTCTTGGCGCAATTGTCGCAGGCGAAATCATTTAGATCATTGTGAATTATGTCTCGGTGAGTTATCATGCTTGATTCTTGTTTAAATGCTTCTTGGCAAATATCGCAAACGTATTTTTCGTCGTCTGAAACGACAATGTCATGTTCACCCAGATTATCTTCAGAGACAACTTCTTGGGAGTTTTTCTCACTTTCATCCATTTTGGTGCTTAAAACAAACGATGGTCAGTAAAATTTATCGTTCGATGTTATTACGTGTTTCACCGGAAAAGACAAAATTTAAACTAATTTGTTTTTACTATGAACACGAGAAGTGAGTCGAAGGAATATCTTAAAATCGTTACTGATCATATTGTTTACAATCAATGTACCGATTTATCTGTTTATACATTGTACTTACATCTCGATTGAAACAAATTGAGATTCTAACTTGGCGACGATTCCTTCGAAGAATTTTTTGGCCTATGTAGATCCATATACCCATGTGTAATAAAAAAATCTAATATTCATTCAAAAATTTGCCGAATCCACACTATTATGTGATTGGCATGCTCCATAACCCGCCACTGATTTCAACGATACAAGCGTGCTGAAGTAACGATAAAGAATGAATGACGAGTAAGGAACTAATGGACATTGCTTTTGAAAGAGTCTCAGTGAAGACCAACCGTGTTGTTAGTTTAAGAAAAAAAATCTTCCCTATTAGTATTGGTTTTTAAATGATATTATTTTATAAATTATTTTAAAGTGATTGTATTTTTATCGAAATCAAACTTTTTCGAACTAAAGATCTAAGGTATGTGATACCTTAAATTCGAAAGATGGATTTTGCAATAGATGCAATTTTTATTTACAATTCGAAACACAATTGAATCAAGTGACGACAAAAAATATTAATCATAAATCTGTGATTGATTGGGATTGTATGAGATGTAAGAATCATCAAGTTTGTCAGGCGGTGAATAAAAATTGCATCTCGTTGCTCTTGGAAATTTTGGATAATATAATGGCATCATGTTAAGGCAGATTCTATTGAAAAATATGTACAAAACTTCTTTTTTTCATGTTCAGAATCCATAATGACATCTGGCGGTGAAATTCGAAGCTCATTGCTCGATTCTTGTGAAACTTGAATTCTCGAAAGAAGCTAACTGCTAATAAGGCAGATTCTATTGAAAAATATGTACAAAACTTAATTTTTTCATCTTCAGAATCGATAATGACATCTGGCGGTAAAATTCGAAGCTCGTCGCCCACCGAGCCCAATGATTCTGTGAAACTAAAAATCCCACAGGAAGTTAAAAGCGTAGCCATTTTTTCACCTCACATGAGCTACTCAATACTATATTGGTCCGAAGAAATTGCACAAATTTGCAACTCGCAAACGAAGTCTTCACATTCAAATTTAAATTCAAAAAATTTCAAGAACAATGTATGTTCAGTTTTGTATTCAAATCAAATGAAAATTGTATACTGTTGATTTTGCATTAAAAATATTTAAAGCGCATATTTTTTTCACACGAAGTGCACTTTCTAATTGAACTCGAGCAGCGTGTGTGTGCACTCGCGTACAGTCGATAATGATAATTACGCGAGCTGTGATGCTGCGTACGTTTCAGTCGCGCATAACATCCATAAATGCCCAAGACTAAAACCCGATCTTACATACTGCGATTTTCCAGTGATTTATCATGTTAATTTTTTATTCCTTCCTCTCCCTGCGTGTCAACTTTCGATACTTGTGCATACCTCGCGTGTATTGTATATGTGGTTTCGGAGAGCGACTCAGGTGCAAAAGTGTCGTCGCGATGTGCAGCCAATGTACGCACACGCGCGCGCAAGCATTATGCACTCTTTTTTGACACGTCGGTGATGAAAGTGAAATTGTTTATTCGCACTCCGGATAAACCGACTGGACGTTACAACGAGAGGTGAAACGAGACAGTCTTTTTTTCACGTAATGCGCATCATAAAAGCCATGTAAGAATCTCTTGATCCAGTCATCCAATGATAGTGAACGGCTGCTTCGCGAAGTGCACCCGAGAGGAAAATGAATCTTTAGCATTGATACGTTTATAGAATCGAATGAAGTGTCGAGCTTAATTATACGTCAATCGCCAATGTAATTCAACATTAACTAAGCAAATCCGTTCGTTCGATATGTTTTGTTCCTCCTGATTTAGTGGAAAAATTTCGACTTTTTAAATTTTTTTTTACCTAATATCCGATCGGGATCAACATGTAAAATGTTGCAATACCACTTCAGGGTTATCGATTATTCGATAATCCGTAGATCGTCTCAAATCGTACTTTCTAATTTAATATAAGATAGTAATATATTTTAAATGTAAACAAAGTTTTGACGACATTACGTAAAAGCTCAAATTAATTGATAACCACCCTTTAATATTAAGTCAAAGATCACACGTGCAAATAGAGTCCCAAGGTTTTTGGAAAAAATTATGAATTAAATAGATACATTGTAACAGCTCATGAAAAAAAAATTCATCACTAATGCGTAAAGTATGGCATATCATTTGGAATGAAGAGAAATCTAATGACACATAGATGCAATTCTTTGAAACTTAAATAATTCTGATGCAAAAAACGCGAAAAAATTTTGATTTGTAGAACAAATTTGACACGGAGATAGTCCATACAATTAAAATCGACGGTGCCTGGAGCGTGTAGGAAGTAATTTTAATATTGAATTTCGATAGTGCGAATATGTAAGTAATTCACAAAGGCTCACTATATTTTAGAAAGATCGGAACCCTCAAGTGGGGCAAGATTTTCTGACAACAAGTACATTTTTACTAAGCACGTGAATTCCCATCGTAGTGTAAAAAGAAATGATCGGAAAACCAATTAGTTGTATAAATCAAAAACACATTTTATTATCCAGGAGCAAAACGATATGTTCGCATTCACTTATGAAAATTGTAATTGAAACGAAGAATAAATAATTTTTCAAGCCGCAAATGACCAACTGCAAAATTGATGATAAATGTAATGTAATTTTTTCTTTCAATGTAAATTAATTACCGGGTAAATAGGAAATCTTGGTTTTCCTAATTTTAAATTGACAATAATTGAAATGATAGCACCGACTGACTCTATGGAGCATGGTTCATTTTCAATTATTTTGTTTCTCGAAAAAGTAAATGAAAAAATTGATTCGATTTTGAACGAGTGAAATGCACGCACAAACTACATCCGCTCTCGAGCGCGCGCGCCTTCATACTTAATATCATACGTTCGTATAAATATACATTTGCGCGCGCGCCAAGAAATACCTCGCAGGGTGAAGGATACGATATTTTGCGCCATTTCTCGAGCCACGCGCGAGTAGTAAAAATATGAGTGAGCTTTACACATCACGTGTGTGTGTGTGTGTGTGTGCATGCCCGTGCAGCACAGCATTTTTATGCATTATATTATGCACCAAGAGAGACTTTCATCACCTTTGCCGATCTGTTATAGGTGCACAATTTTGTAAGCGAGTTGCTAAACATTTCGGTATTTTTGTTTTTTTTTTTGGTTTCATTACTAGTATATAATACTCGTACATATACAGCGCAGAGATAAATTTAATAGACCCAGGGTGTGAAAAATTATCATCTCGCGTAGGCGCCTGGTTTTCATCGGTCGAGAAGTTCTTATAACGTGTAATATTATTACGAAATGTTATATAAAGTAGACGAAGTTATTATCTATGTAAGTCTCGCGATCGCTGCCCCACGGGTGTAACTGTGCCGCGGCCAAGAAACGACGTCGACGACGACGTGGCGAAACTTCACACACGATCGTATTAAATAAAGAGGTGCGCGAGATTTTATGGAGCAGCAGCGCATTGTATAATATGCGATGCGCGACGAAATGAGGCCTACGAAATTTATATTTACAATCGTAATGTAATGTATGAATCGCGACGACTTGGCTGAGGCCGCGACACTTTACGAATGATATAATAAGCCGCTCGAGCTGTGCGTGGGATGCGCCGCGCGGGGCTGCCTCGCTGCATCTAGGATGATGATAATTACGTGCATACCTGTTGACGTATACGCCGCGGCGAATTCGTTACGTTTTGGCGCGCGGCTCGGCTCGTTGGCCCCTGCAAGCGGAAATAGCATAAAACAAGAGAGAAGATCCGTACGCGGATGTGCGTCTAGAGAAAAGGACGAAAAATTGCATGCAAATAATGATAATGAAGCGACGACGACGACTTTTAAACTTTCGCGCCGCGGTTCTATTTATTATATGTGTGTGTGTATGTGTTGTATAGTGCAGTAATTCCGTAGCGAGGCGCGTCACGCGCGTATATATATATTTACAATAGTCGTATGTAGCTGCGCAAGGTTGTTGCACCGGCGTAAAGCAGCAGCAGCAGCAGCGGCTGCAGAAACTCGTCGTATTAGTCCGCCGAGTGGAGAAAGTGTCAAGATGCTCGTTTGAAAAGATCCTCTCTCTCGTTGTTGCCGACGCTGCTGCGTCGTCGTCGCTTTACACAAACACAAATATATAATATAAATACAAAAGGTCGACGAAAGCCGCGCTCGATCGACGATTTTTCTCCTCCGCTTCTTCTTCTTCTTTTTTTTTTGTTGCTCGCGTATCTCGAGTGCAGAGAGAAACGATGCATTTTCAGATAATTTGAATCGTCATCCGTTGGAAGCTTCTGTTTTACATTATATACGCGCGGCGCGATCTCGATGACGCGCGCCAAATATTCACGTTTATGTGGAATGTCGATCACGTATAATATTATAAAGATCGCGCGCGCGCGGATTTGGAGGATTTGTTGATATACGTAAACGACGGCTTTCCGAGGAAAATATCATTATACATATTTACGCGCGGGCCGATACGGATAAGACGTTTTCTAAAATACAACGACTTCTCGAGAGAGAGAAGGACGATTATGAACCGCAAAGAGCTCTGGAACGACAGAGAATTGGTGTCACACGGCAGATTTTATTTTTTTATCGCGCCAGCGAGCTCGATGCAAATCGCCCGCGCGCGCGAATGATTGAAAGTTTCGCCAAATATTATACGTAAAATACGCGCGACTCTCCTTCGCGACGAATATATTACGCGAATAAAATTTTTATAATACAATATAAACGCGTCGATGTGCGACCGTTTATATGCTCGCCAGGACCTCTGAATGCCCGCGCGTATCCTTATTTTTATCGTTTCGCGATGTTGTTGAGGCGCCCGCGAATGCACACCGCAGAAAGTATGAATACAAAATGA